AATAATATTATGACCAATGGAAAAAAATTTTATCTGCTAATGAATCAGCTTTACAACTCTTTAGTAACACTGTTAAATATTAGTATAACCTGTTTATTGTACGTCTGAAGATTATATAAGAAATTATAGTATAGAGCGGTTATTTGTAAAGGGAAAAGCAAGTTTATTCTTATTTCAGACAAATTATAAACATCAAAATTTATGCAGAAATTTTTTATATATATGTTTCTGAAATCTCCTGGATGTTTTGTGGTCGTTTATTAGTATTTTCAATAAGAAAACTACTTAAAGCACACAAGCAAAGATGTGTAAAGTGAATAAAAATAATATTATAACCAATGGGAAAAAAATTTTATCTGCTGATAAATTAGCCTTGCAACTCTTTAGTAACACTGTTAAATATTAGTATAACCTGTTTATTGTACATCTAAAGATTATATAAGAAATTATGATATGGGACAGTTATTTGTAAAGAGAAAAACAAGTTTATTCTGTTTCAGACAAATTATAAACATTAAAATTTATGCAGAAATTTTTTGTATATGTGCTTCTAAAGCTTCCTGAATACTTTGTGATTGTTCATTAGTATTTTTAACAAGAAAACTACCATGCATAATAGTCATTTTTCTAAGCTCAGTCTAAAAAAAAATTCATCAGAAGTTTCAGGATAGTTATGAGATAGCCCCAATAGGACCCTGAACAATATATATATAGGTCAGATAAAAAATTCAAAATTTATTAAGGTCAATAAGCAAATATTTTTCATGTCTGTTAAGTAAAGCTCTAACCGGTCTAGACCTTCAGACCAAAAATTAGGATTGGTCTAGTCTGGATTAATGCTTCAACCTGGACTGAAGTATTTGGTCTGATCTAGTCTGATCCAGGATTATAAATCTAACCCAGACTGAATTAAATAGGTTAGGATCAGATCAGACTGAAAATTTGCCAAAATTATAACTGTATTCTAATTCTATAATTCTAGCTCCATAGTGATCTTCCTGATATATGTAGTTTCGTTTTAAGCCTATGTTTGCTTTATGTAATATTAGTGCATAAAGACGCATAATTTCCTTATATAGTATATACATTATACAAAGTAAATATAGGCTTAAATTGAAGCTACACATGTCAGGTAAATCGCTACAGAGCCAGAATTATAGAATTAGAATACAGTTATAATTTTGGTAAAAATTTTAATTTTGGACACGTGATATTATAACAGCCAATCAGAATTTCAGATTTTTTATTATAAGACTGGACCAGACCAAATTAAATAACTGGTCTGGTCTGGTCCGGTCATGGATTATTTTTTTAACATAATCCAGATCAGATCAAAATGAAGCAATTTTTTTGGTCTGATCCTGGGTTACTCCTCAACCTAGACCAATCCGAACCATTTAGAGCTTTACTGCTAAGCAAACTTTTATCCAACCCATAAATTTTTTACACTACTAAGCAACTTATTTTATGATATATATATATTTATATATATATTTTTTTATAAAATATGTATATAAAAAAAACTAAAAAAACAAAAATTTTTGAAATAATGTATGGATAAAGCTATTATTATTTTTTTGTAATATTACAACTTATAAATATGGATAAATCTAATTGTAACAGCCTGTTACGCGTCTTATTTGTAACAACTCCAATTTTATCCAATTAAAATTTAAGATCAGGCGAAATGTAAACAAAAACAAAAAGATCAGTTGTGTAACCAAGACAAAAGAATTTTTTAAAAAATTTCAAGAAACTGCTTATAACTTGAAATTTTGTCTATGAAACTGTCTTAAGTACATTAAGTAAAAGTTTTCCAAATTAAATTTTGCATATAAAAATTTTATTTGTAAACTACATACTAAATTTATTATTAAAAAAAAATAAAAAAAGGATGTTACAAATAAGATATGTAACAGGCTGTTACAAATACATTTATTCTATAAATATTTCTTATTAATATTTTGTTATATCTGTTCTGTGACTTCAGAGCATAATTTAGACACTTTAATCAAAGGAAACATCTAAAACCTTCTTAAGTAAAGTTGTTCAGCAAGTTCGAATCTACTTATATATAATTTTTATCATGGTTGAATAGATATTTATGGATTTATTCATGTTTTTTGTAATACCACCAATACGCAGAATTTTTATTTTTAAAATCTACTGTAAAATTTGTCAAAAAAAATATTTTTTAAAAAATTTTCTAAGTAAAAATGAAATAACTTTTATTGATTATTACAAAAATTATAGTATAAATTTATAAAAAACAGAAACCCACTTATTTTTCTTACTCTCATTTTAATATATATTTTTTAAATGTTATATAGATGCATATATGATTTATAATTTTAATGTTATGTGGATGCGTATTTATTTTATCAAAAATACATTACTTGATCACGTCTAAAAATGTTTCCTGTATTACATATACAATTAACTTAATCTTTGTATTAAAAATAGTAAATTTTTTTTACACAAACATGTTTATAACTTTGTTTACATATTTTATTAGATTTTTTTAATGTGAAAAATATAAAATATATATTATATTATATATATATAGAGATGTTAACGGTCTGGTCTAGTCCATCCTGGTCCAGTTTTTTATCAGTCCATGCCTCCACGGTCTGGAATCAGACCGAAAACTGGGACTGATCAGTCTTATAGGACCATGGTCTGGACCACGGTTTCATAAAAAAAATTTTAGTGTTAGTTTGTTACTTCGCATAATTTCTACCGGAATTAACAAAATTTCTTTTTTGGAATTTTGTGTAACTTTGTGTAATAACACACTTCAATTTTCGCAAAAAATAAAAATTTCCTTTTTTTGGAATTGTGTAACGTTAAACTGCAATAATTCAGGCTGGTACTATGAATTTTGATTAAAAAAATTTCTTATAGGACCTTCTATAGGACTGATGGTCTTATCAGTCTAGTCCTAATGCGATCCAATCCAAAATCGGTCCTTAAGACTGGACCATGATCTGGTTAGTCCAGACTGGACCGTTAACATCCCTATATATATATTAAAAAATTCTATTCTGCTACACAAATATATATCTGACTATTAATAATTTAATACTTTGCTACGTATAATTATATCTGACTATTTAAAAATTATGTTATCAAATAAGCAATAATAAATCTCATATAGGAAAAATTTTTATATGTTGGTTAAGCAAACTCAAAACCTACCTTTATATATATTGTTTGAGGTTCTCATATAGCGAATATTTGCAATTTTATGTATTATAGACTGAGTTCTGTCAATATTTTTTTATTTTTTAAATAAAGTATATATTACATTTTTATTATAAATCTTGAAAAATATCATGTATAATGATGTAATATAATCGTCTGACAATTCTGTATTACATTTTAATTGCATATATATTAGGCAAATGCATTATGAATCAATACAAAAAAAATCTATCATTTTTCTCCAAATGCTAAAATTAAAATACTTTTTTATTTATAAACTAACTTTACCTGTAATTGCTATTAGATGTATAAATTTTTACAAGCACAAACTTATATATATAAAAATTATGTTTTCACAAGCTTTTTTACCCACTCTATCTGCTTTAATAATGAAAGAAGTTTCTTTTCAAATAATGTCAGATAGACATAGTTAAAAAATTTAATACAGAGGTGTTTATCAATTATTTAAGAAGAAAAAACTTAAAACTTGATAAAGATGATATTAAAATTTTTTATAAAAAGAAAATTTTTGGTCTTACCTTTCTTAAGATGATGGAAAAAAAATTTTGCAGTATTGGGTTAATATTAGAACTAGCAATAACACTTGCAAAATTTATCAAAGGCCTCAGTTAGAAGTTATGAAATTATTTCTTCAGTTGCTTAAAACTTTTAATGACTTGAAAGAAATGTTACGTAAAAATAAAATCAATAAAAAAAATATAATGAATATCAAGCGGTTTACTTTTGGTAGGTAATTAATTAATTTTAAAACCAACTAAATAGTTATATTAACTTTATTTTTCTCTGTAGTTTTCAAAGAGATTAGTGATGATGATAAAGTATTCGAATACTGTATAGAAAACATTATCTTAAAAGTAATTGGTATTATTGTTGGATTGTTGAAGGATTGTATTAGTGTAGATAGTTAAGATGGCTAGAATCAAAAAAATTATCAAAAAATAATATGTAATACAGGTTACATTCTGATTTTGTATTTATTTTTACGTATATTAAAAAATTTACACAATGACACTAATCATGACAAAATGTTACAGTTTTCATAACTACTAGTATCATGAATGAATATATTTCCAAAGAATACAAGAAGGTATGTAAATAGATTCTAAAATAATGCTAATTGGCTTTATAGATCAAAGTGAACATATCACCATTATTTAATTCTTTTAATATTATTTTGTGGATGCAGTTCTAATTATTTGGCACAGTATATCAGTATTATATCTGAATTCTATTAAAGAATATTTATGATAGAATATAAGGCAGAATATTATAAAAGTAAAAGATTTTTTTACTTAATTTTTCTTAGAATATTTAAATGGAAATAGGTTAAAAATAATGGCATATAGGAATGAAATTTTGGTGTTGAAATTAGTTAGAAATTATTAAATAGACACATAGATACTTAAAAAAAAAATATTTGATAATACATCCATTTTATTGTTTAATATATCTACAAATTTTCACTTTGATTTTAAACATATGAATAATATATTTGAAAAAATGAAAATGTAAAATGTAAGAATTAATATTTTGTTATTTTTTAAAACCATTTTTCATCCTCAGAAATTTCAATATCACTACATTGCCAATCAACTTGAGATCCCTATTCTTGTTTTAAAACTGTAACCCAATGTTGACAATCATTAGAAATCAATGAATCTGCATTATTTTCATCAATAATCAATCTTGGTATCTTGTGTATTCTTTTTAATGCATCAGGTGTTTTTTGATAATCTCTTTTTCTTTTAAAATTAAAATTACAAGGATAGGCAACAATCATCTGTATATTGCGATTACTCCATTTTTGTTGTTTGTAAATTTCACACAACTTATAATGAAACTGAGAAGAATTGGAATTTAAGTCTTTGTCTGTAAACATTGTATCCAGATTAACAGTTTTACATGCCTTCTTTAGCTCAACATTATTTCTTAACTTGACCTGAGTATTTAAAATATAAGCTTCTCTTTTTTCTCCTTTTGGAAAGAAAAAAGCCATTGAGATATCAGAATCTACTGTATTTGGTGGATAACATATTGGGCTAACAATGACTGTTATCAGGAAATAGTTTTTTGTGTGAAGATAAAGGTATTTTACTTTTAAAAATAATGTCATCCAAAAAATTTGTAACACATTTCTCCCAAATAAATCCTGGCATGCTTGCATTAAAATTGACTTGTGACATTACATTAAACCACATGTTGTCTATTTTAGTATTTATAAAATAGTTGAATCCTGCTTGAATTGCAAGAGGTTCATCAATGATTCCAGTTAATTCTTGAGTTTTAAGGTGGGCAAAGCCAATAGACATAATATCTATTTCCTTAGTATTTTTATACAAAAATCGCCTTCCTGTCATTGCATAATAAATAATCGCTCTTTTTATAAGTTCCAATATAGACTCATGATCAATATAGGAATGTTGCTCATTAGGATGATGTACAAGTCTTACAAGTCCAGAATAAAGACTAAATCTTGGATTTTGTGGATCTTTATAATCAGTTGTAAGATGATCTTTTAGCATTTCTAGTTGTTTTTGGGGATCATAAGAATTAAGAAGGTAATGTATCCATGTCCAAGTAAAACGATATCGACCCTGTTTAGAAACTATATTGTAAGAATTGGGATTGAATTCAATAAATCATCATAACAATAGCATACCTTTAGCCATTTAATTGCCATTGATGCATATTTATCTTCAAGGGGAAATATATTCCTTGCCAGTTCAAGTATTTCCTCTGAAGTTTGAATTTGGCCAAAATTTTTAAAGATTGGAATACTATAAATCAATTTGGAAAGATTAATTAAATTATTCCAAAAAGCATTTGAATTGAAAATTTTAACTTACGCTGTTTCTGTCTTTGCCACTTTAGATAATTTAAGATCCTTTGCTTCCATTAGTGATAAGCCAGATCCAGTTATACAAACAATTGCTTTTGGAAATGTTAAGGATAAATCTGAAAAGATCTTCGTGATTATGGTAAATAATGGCTTCTTCTTATTTTTATCATTATAACATAGGAATGTGTTTGATAAGTATGAGGTGTGATATTGGGCCTCATCATAGATAATTGGAAAGATGTTTTTAATTTTATTATCAATACTTCTTATAATATTAAGGCGATATCCTTTAAGGGCTTCCTCATCCTCTATGTCACGAAATTTTACAGGTAATAGATTGATAAGTTGATGACTTAGTTGGAAGATTAACCAAGATTTGGGTTCCATCTCACATTTAAGTTTTTCAGCCATCTCAAAGAGATGATTAAACAATACCAGACGTGCAGTGATACAACTCAATACTGCCCGCTCTGCAAGTTTTTTCGCCTAATCAGGTTCTTTTACATGAATCTCATTCTTAGTCCAAACTGATGCATCTTCAAAGTCTTTGGCTCCAAAACTTAATGGTACAGCAACAAAATACAGGCCATAGTTGCGACATAAAAGTTCCAAACATAGGCGAGTTTTGCCACAACCAGAAGTCCCCATAACAATTGTCATGCTACTAGATACAATATTACGCTACAAGTCTAATTCTAAAAGTACACAATTAGTGAGGTAATCTTTATTCTTTCTAGGGAGATTATACAAAAGCAAGTTAGGATTACCACCGAGCATTGGAATTTTTTTCTTATCAATTTCGCTTTTGTAAGGATGATCATACGGGGCTTCGAAATACTTATAAGGATCATATTTGTTTGTCACAACCTTTTCTAGGTCCTGAGAATGAATTTTAAATAGATCTTGAACTTCTTTTTCTATTTGAGCTAAGGAGATCGTTCGTGTGGAAGGCACTGCATGTTAGAAATAAATTTTAAAAAAGAATATGAGATAACGCGAATTTCTTGTTCGAGAGGTAAACCATTGGGAGACACTTACCAGTAGTGGCGGGAGGTGGCGGTTGTACGATGATACGGATGTTCTTGGAGTCATACCTAAAGATGTCGCCAATATCATCAACTGGAGACAACTTTTCACCTCCGAGTTCTTGTATAATATTTTCTTCATCCATATCACGGGATCTGTTTTGAAGTGTTCTCAGTTGAACGTTCTCTGTATCGTAAGGAATATCCACCAACCATAGGTTCAACTTGTTGGCATCAAATTTTTTGTCTTTGAAATCGTTCTTATTCTTCTCATAGATCATATCTTTGAGCTCCGCAACAGTCATTTTTATCTGGCCGCCAACTCTAAAGACGCTATCAAGATCGGTACCTACCACAAAACAAAATATCATGATTTCGCTGAAATATCTGCAAACGCGAAAATCGAGGGTTAAAAACAAGAGTCAAAAAATCAACTTTTCAGTAAAATGTCAAATAAAGACCTTTTTTATACGATCTTCAGTTTGTACTGATGAACCGTTTGATTGATTCATATTGTATTGATATGTAACTGTTTGTACTACTGTACTAACATCAATTAATAAAAAATGACTGATAAATTAATATTACAATTATAATTTATTATTAAAAGACATTAAAAATCAATAGATGACTAATATTCATAATCTTTTTAAATACATTTGAAACTTCTAACTATTAAGATTTTTAAATTTGCTTAAAATTTTTAAGTTCAAGGTTTTAAAATTTAATTATAATATACAATATGAATCATGAAGCTCTTAAAGAATAATTTGCAATATGATATAATAAAAAATATGATGGTGATGATGGGTGACAAGTGACGAAATGTTCTAGATACCTCGAAAAATTTTAGTTATAATGGTTATGATCTTGGTGAAACACACAGGTGGGTTCAGTTCTCGCTGAATCGGTTATCTTCGTTAATTACGCAATTACGACAGAGCCTTACTATAAATAATACTGATCGAAAAAACTTATCGTATAAAATTCTACGTTGTCTGAATTTTCGTGCGCAGATCTGGTAATAACTAATATGGACTTTGCACATTTGCACAGTTATGTTGGCCGGAATTTTGTTTTAACCCCCCGTTTTTGTCCCTTCAAATTTTTTTCTTTTTTTATAATTTGTATCGCGAATTCGCGATTCACGATTATATATAACTCTACTTATACTAAATGCCCCTGTTATATAACTCTACTTATACTAAATGCCCCTGTTATATAACTCTACTTATACTAAATGCCCCTGTAACATAACAATTATAATACTATTACGCTGGCCTGAATTTAGGAGTTATGCACTTGCATGTGATAGCGTTAACGTTAATTCCGGCCAGTTTGTACGTTAGTGCATTTCCAACAAAAAAAAGCTTTAAAAAAAAAACCCTTTATTTTTTTACACCGTGTTTCCATTTCAGCTAGCCTTTTTCTTCCGCTATGTGTGCTCAGGTTTTTCTTTGTATAATATATCTGTTATTGTTCCCATGGCACCATTTACAAGGCCAGTGGCAACCCAAAGATTTGCAGTGAGCATAATACGAGTGTTTCTGGCTAATAATATTTCAGAATCAAGACCTTTTGCTGTATCTTATTCAGCCTTCCAAGCTTCAGAGCCACCCGTATGAACTGCTCCAATCTTAGCGACAGGTTGGTTTAATGACCGAAGTTTGTCAGCATTAATTCTATCAACTTCTTCCCATGTTGTAAGAATATTGATGGAATTTGAAAATTTTTTTCTCTCTGACTCTGGCAGTTTTTCTGGGATTCGCGTCATTAACAATTCCCAATCATCTAGTGCTCCATTACGCTAGCAAGAAAGTGACGACCTACCATACTCATTTCATCGATGATAAGATATTTAATATCCTTTATTCTATTTTGTAATTTTTTCAGAGATTCACCTTCAAGCTTATAATCTGTGCCGCATAATATTGGAACGGAAAGCGCCGAATGTATAATACTACCTTGAATATTAAAGGCTGCGACGCCTGTTGGAGCAAGTACAATGCTATTTTCTTGCAACCTTTCCCGAATGATGTTTATTAGGTAAGATTTACCGGTTCCAGCAGTACCCATAATAATAATTCGCAAAAGTTCTACATTTTCAATCAATGTAATGTTCTTCGATTCTTTCAAATATTATCTTAATTTAAACTCTATATTAGAAAATTATAATTAAAGATAAAGGAAAATAACAGATATTTTTGATGTAATTTTTAATGTAATTCAAATACTAATAAAAATATTATTTAGTTATTATAAATGAAATTTATTAATTAAAATGTGATGTTATATAATCAGATAATTTTCATCTGAGGTGAATATTAAAATTATTCTAAAATAAAATTAGAGAAAAAGAATCAATTATATTTCTTATCCACTAATTACTTGACTATTTTTCCAGTAAAAATTGCCGAAAAAAAAGGCTTAGGCCTATTACTAATAAATGTCATTATAAAAAATTTTAACTTTTATATGAAATTTTACCTTAGAAATTGTTTAAATTCTATTGGCTAATTAACTAAAAAAAAATCATAATAATGTAACATAAAATTTTAACAAATTTATATATAAACTTTACCTTAGATTTAGGGATGACTTATCTTAGAAGTAGATGAAGCCTATTTAAACTTTTAACTGTAAAGTACTTTTAGTATTTATTAATGACTTCAAAATGATTCTTTTAAAACTTGAACAAATTTTAAACTCTTAATTTTGGTGGAGTTCTTTAACTTAGAGTGGTTTTTACCAAAGATTTTATTTCTATAAAATTTTTCTTTTACTAAGTTTCTGAAAGTTGTAACAATTACACATAGAAAGGTTGAACTTTAAACTTTATACTAATATGAAGTTTCTGTTATTTTCTTTATTTTTGAAAATTACACAAATTTTTCTATGAAATACAAAGATAAGTACTTAGAAAGTAGACTCCATTTTATTATCAATTATCATTTGAAGAACTGTAATAATAGACAGAAATTTAATATTTTTTATAGAAATTTTTATTATAAATAAGCAGGATTATTTTACTAACATAGTCTTAAAATTCTAATCAATTTACTTTAATCATATGGGCTGATTTGTCTATTTTTAATTAAAATATTGATTTTGTTGCATTTTTATTATACAAAATACTATATAATATACAGTAAATTGGGGGTGAGTATTAAAAAACTTTTATTTAATGTTATTATACTTTAAATTGGTAAATATTTCTTTTAAATTAATATAATTCTTAGCACTTACTATATATATTAAAAATTTGTATCTCAACTTTAAACGTAAATATCTCCAGATCTAATGATCCAATCGGCATGCTCTTTTTTTGCTCATATAGACCAGATCAAGAGCTTTCCGAAGAGCCTAAATTTATAAAAAACGGATCAGTGAATCCCAAGATATTTGCATTTAAGCATGTTAAAAAGTTTGTACCTCAACTTTAAATGTAAATATCTCTGGATCTAATGATTCAATTGGCGAGCTCTTTTTTCGCCTATAAAGTCCAGAACAAGGGCTTTCCAACGAGCCTAAAATTATAAAAAACGGATCAGTGAATCTTGATATATTTGCGTCTGAAGATGGTAATACAAATTCTGACATAAAATAATTATTTTTATTGTTTGAAAATATCTATTATGATACCGACCATCTTTTATATGATATTTTTATTATATGGTGCCGGAAGTTTATACTCGACAATCACGTGATTTTGTTTCAATTTTCTGAGCCGATTCTATATCATGTGATCTGGAATTCAGCCAATAAAAAACCAGAATTTCTTGTGTAAAATACTAATAAAATGCGGTTTTTGAAAATTTATTTATTACAAACAAGATAAAATATAAGAAAAAGTAGATTTCAGTAGTAAATTGCAACTACCATTTCATAAAAGTTATATATTGATAAAAAAATTTTTTTTTTTAAAAAATTACATTTGATTCATATTATGATAATTCAGGCTGGCATTATCACAATGCATGGAATCGGCCCAAATTATCGTAAGTTCTGGCCAACATATTTTGTTTCAAATTTGGGCTGATCATATGAAAATCATGCAATTTCAAATGCTTATAACTTTTTATGTAGATCTTCTTTTAAAAATGTGACCGGTAATTTGATAGAGCTTACCTC